TCATCTGAGTTTCAAGCTTCCATCCATGTCCTCTCGTTCTGTTACTATTCCGTGTGAACATTTCGTCTATGTCCACTCTGTCAATTCCTCTGAGTATCTTATACGTTCCTATCATGTCCCACCTCTCCCTTCTTCTTTCTAGTGTCGTAAGGCACAGTTCCCTCAGGCGCTCTTTATACCCCATCCCTCGTAGCTCTGGGACGAGTCTCGTTGCAAACCTCTGAACCTTTTCCAGTTTCATTATATGCTTCTTCAGATGTGTGTGTCGTGGTGTGTGTGTGTCGTGGTGTGTGTCGTGGTGTGTGTGTGTGTGTCGTGGTGTGTGTGTGTGTCGTGGTGTGTGTGTGTGTGTGTCGTGGTGTGTGTGTGTGTGTGTGTCGTGGTGTGTGTGTGTGTCTGTAGTGGTGTGTGTGTGTGTGTGTCGTGGTGTGTGTGTGTCGTGGTGTGTGTGTGTAGTGGTGGTGTGTCGTGGTGTGTGTGTGTAGTGGTGTGTGTGTGTGTCGTGGTGTGAGTGTGTCTCATGGTGTGTGTGTGTGTCGTGGTGTGTGTGTGTGTCGTGGTGTGTGTGTGTGTCGTGGTGTGTGTGTGTGTCGTGGTGTGTGTGTGTGTGTCGTGGTGTGTGTGTGTCGTGGTGTGTGTGTGTGTCGTGGTGTGTGTGTGTGTGTGTCGTGTGTGTCGTGGTGTGTGTGTGTGTCGTGGTGTGTGTGTGTGTGGTGGTGTGTGTGTGTCGTGGTGTGTGTGTGTGTCGTGGTGTGTGTGTGTCGTGGTGGTGTGTGTGTGTGTGTGGTGTGTGTGTCGTGTGGTGTGTGTGTGTCGTGGTGTGTGTGTGTGTCGTGGTGTGTGTGTGTGTGGTGTGTGTGTGTGTGGTGTGTGTGTGTGTCGTGGTGTGTGTGTGTGTGGTGGTGTGTGTGTGTGGTGTGTGTGTGTGTGGTGTGTGTGTGTGTGTGTGGTGTGTGTGTGTGTGTGGTGTGTGTGTGTGTCGTGGTGGTGTGTGTGTGGTGGTGTGTGTGTGTGGTGTGTGTGTGTGTGGTGTGTGTGTGCGTGGTGTGTGAGTGTGTGTCGTGGTGTGTGTGTGTGTGTGTGGTGTGTGTGTCGTGGTGTGTGTGTGTGTGGTGTGTGTCGTGGTGTGTGTGTGTCGTGGTGTGTGTGTGTGTCGTGGTGTGTGTGTGTGTCGTGGTGTGTGTGTGTGTGTGTCGTGGTGTGTGTGTGTGTGTGGTGTGTGTGTGTGTGTGGTGTGTGTGTGTGTCGTGGTGTGTGTGTGTGTGTGTGGTGTGTGTGTGTGTGTGTGTGGTGTGTGTGTGTGTGGTGTGTGTGTGTGTGTGTGTGGTGTGTGTGTGTGTGTGTGTGTGTGTGTCGTGGTGGTGTGTGTGTGGTGGTGTGTGTGTGTGGTGTGTGTGTGTGTGGTGTGTGTGTGTGTCGTGGTGTGTGTGTGTGTCGTGGTGTGTGTGTGTGGTGTGTGTGTGTGTCGTGGTGGTGTGTGTGTCGTGGTGTGTGTGTGTGTCGTGGTGTGTGTGTCGTGGTGTGTGTGTGTCGTGGTGTGTGTGTGTCGTGGTGTGTGTGTGTCGTGGTGTGTGTGTCGTGGTGTGTGTGTGTCGTGGTGTGTGTGTGTCGTGGTGTGTGTGTGTCGTGGTGTGTGTGTGTCGTGGTGGTGTGTGTGTCGTGGTGTGTGTGTGTCGTGGCGTGTGTGTCGTGGTTGAGGCTCTATGCCCTTATCTTCTTGAGACCATCTTGGGATGATTTCGGGGCTTAGCGTCCCCGCGGCCCGGTCCTTGACCAGACCTATTTGTTAAACACCCCCAGGAAGCAGCCCCTAGCAGATGTCTAACTCCCAGGTACCTATTTACTGCTAGGGTGAACAGGGACATCGGTGTGTAAGAAACTGCCCATTTGTTTTCATTCCGTCGGGGAACGAACCCTGGAACTCAGGGCTACGAATCCCTAGCGCTGTCCACTCAGCCGTCACGCCCCTAGACAGGCGGAGCTTGTACACACTGACAGTATACCTGGACTACGACCCATGCTGATGCGTCAGTGTTTCAGCTGCTCATTTGATGTACAAGTTAGCAGCGTTATCAGGCAAGTTACGACATCAAACTGCAGGATTAACCTTCGCATCTCAACGTGACAACTTTATTATATCATTAGTAAATACCCAATTAGCATTGCTTGATACTTTCACCATTGTTATCTTCAACACTCTGGTTCATCATTCCTCACTGCTTTGTTTAATGAATTGTCATTGTTCCTCTTTATATCTCCTTGTTCGTTTAATGATATGAGTTATCAGCTCAAGTACTTGGTCGTCAGTAGGTCATCCAGTTCCCTCACGCCACCTGTGTCACAGTGCTTGAACTGAGCCATTGTTCAGGGGCTCATTATCAGGCTATTCAACTCCACTAATCATGCACAAACACTTCATGAAGTTCCGAACGGTTTCAACCTTTGTACTTGGAGGATTGGGACACGCTGTAGTTAAGGAGTGACGTCAACGAGGCATTTGGTGAGCTTACTCGTCCACTTATGGTGTGAAGAGTGTGGGTCTCTCGGCCCTCTCTCAGTGTGGTGACAGGGGCGGACGACCTCTCACAGTGTAGTGACAGGGGCGGACGACCTCTCACTGTGTGGTGACAGGGGCGGACGACCTCTCACAGTGTAGTGACAGGGGCGGACGACCTCTCACAGTGTGGTGACAGGGGCGGACGACCTCTCACAGTGTGGTGACAGGGGCGGACGACCTCTCTCAGTGTGGTGACAGGGGCGGACGACCTCTCACAGTGTGGTGACAGGGGCGGACGACCTCTCACAGTGTGGTGACAGGGGCGGACGACCTCTCTCAGTGTGGTGACAGGGGCGGACGACCTCTCTCAGTGTGGTGACAGGGGCGGACGACCTCTCTCAGTGTGGTGACAGGGGCGGACGACCTCTCACAGTGTGGTGACAGGGGCGGACGACCTCTCACAGTGTGGTGACAGGGGCGGACGACCTCTCACAGTGTGGTGACAGGGGCGGACGACCTCTCACAGTGTAGTGACAGGGGCGGACGACCTCTCTCAGTGTGGTGACAGGGGCGGACGACCTCTCACAGTGTGGTGACAGGGGCGGACGACCTCTCACAGTGTAGTGACAGGGGTGGACGACCTCTCTCAGTGTGGTGACAGGGGCGGACGACCTCTCACAGTGTGGTGACAGGGGCGGACGACCTCTCTCAGTGTGGTGACAGGGGCGGACGACCTCTCTCAGTGTGGTGACAGGGGCGGACGACCTCTCACAGTGTAGTGACAGGGGCGGACGATCTCTCACAGTGTAGTGACAGGGGCGGACGACCTCTCACAGTGTGGTGACAGGGGCGGACGACCTCTCACAGTGTAGTGACAGGGGCGGACGACCTCTCACAGTGTGGTGACAGGGGCGGACGACCTCTCACAGTGTGGTGACAGGGGCGGACGACCTCTCACAGTGTGGTGACAGGGGCGGACGACCTCTCACAGTGTGGTGACAGGGGCGGACGACCTCTCACAGTGTGGTGACAGGGGCGGACGACCTCTCACAGTGTGGTGACAGGGGCGGACGACCTCTCACAGTGTGGTGACAGGGGCGGACGACCTCTCACAGTGTAGTGACAGGGGCGGACGACCTCTCACAGTGTGGTGACAGGGGCGGACGACCTCTCACAGTGTGGTGACAGGGGCGGACGACCTCTCACAGTGTGGTGACAGGGGCGGACGACCTCTCACAGTGTAGTGACAGGGGCGGACGACCTCTCACAGTGTGGTGACAGGGGCGGACGACCTCTCACAGTGTAGTGACAGGGGCGGACGACCTCTCACAGTGTGGTGACAGGGGCGGACGACGTCTCACAGTGTAGTGACAGGGGCGGACGACCTCTCACAGTGTGGTGACAGGGGCGGACGACCTCTCACAGTGTAGTGACAGGGGCGGACGACCTCTCACAGTGTAGTGACAGGGGCGGACGACCTCTCACAGTGTGGTGACAGGGGCGGACGACCTCTCACAGTGTAGTGACAGGGGCGGACGACCTCTCACAGTGTAGTGACAGGGGCGGACGACCTCTCACAGTGTAGTGACAGGGGCGGACGACCTCTCACAGTGTAGTGACAGGGGCGGACGACCTCTCACAGTGTAGTGACAGGGGCGGACGACCTCTCACAGTGTGGTGACAGGGGCGGACGACCTCTCACAGTGTGGTGACAGGGGCGGACGACCTCTCACAGTGTGGTGACAGGGGCGGACGACCTCTCACAGTGTGGTGACAGGGGCGGACGACCTCTCACAGTGTGGTGACAGGGGCGGACGACCTCTCACAGTGTAGTGACAGGGGCGGACGACCTCTCACAGTGTAGTGACAGGGGCGGACGACCACCACCGCCCACATGGGCGTCACACAAAGGAAAGGTGACCTATTAAGACCAACCTGAATCACATTTCTCTCTCCTGTCTTAGTCCATAATATAAACATATCAACTTACCCGCTCATGTGACTCCCACTTGAACTGCAGGCGATGAGTCACAGTAACGAGGCTCAAGAATGTTGACCAGACCACACACTAGAAGGTGAAGGGACGACGACGTTTCGGTCCGTCCTGGACCATTCTCAATCGACTTGAGAATGGTCCAGGACCGAAACGTCGTCGTCCCTTCACCTTCTACTGTGTGGTCTGGTCAACATTCCCACTTGAATTAGTAATATATATATTGAGTGTTCTTAATATACATGTAAAATGAAACTGGAGTTATGACGTCAATATGTTTAGAGTTAATTTAGATCTGTGATTACTGGTCTCTTGTATGGTAATGAGGAGAAAGGTTGTGGTGAAACAGATGAGTGATAGGGTCGTTAGAGTGTTTAGAGACAGTGTTGTTGACCTCAGCACGAGCGGGACAGGACACAACACTTCAACAACCAAGGGATCAAAGTCTTGACATTATAAGTTTCGAATGAAAGTACATATAGCACATATCTACGACACAGTTCGCTCAGTTCTCAACATTCTTGAAATAAGTTTATTGAGGTAAAATACACACCAAGGGATGAGGCAGCTCAAGCTATTCTTATCCCGTTAACATTCTTGGGGTTATATTGAGATGATGTCGGGGCTTAGCGTCTCCGCGGCCCGGTCTTCGACCAGGGCCTCCTTTTTGTTACACATCCCCCAGGAAGCAGCCCGTAACAGCTGTCTAACTCCCAGGTACCTATTTACTGCTAGGTAAATAGGGGGCATCAGGGTGAAAGTAACTCAGCCCATTTGTTTCCGCCTCCACCGGGGATCGAACCTGAAACCTTTGGACTACGAATACCGAGCGCTGTCCACTCAGCCGTCAGGCCTCCCCTTTCTCAATTTTGTTTTTATTTTTATTTTACTGTTTTCTACGGGGAGAGGGAGGAGGGGGGTACCCGGCGTTCCCCGGGTCTCTTCGTATCCTGTCAGCCCATGTATCTACCCATCTATCATCTATTTCTCCATCTATCCGTCCATCCACTTAAATATACATCTATCCATCTATTTATCAATCTTTCTATTCATATATCCAACCATCTATCATTCGCATGCCCATCTATATATCTATTGATCCATTCATCCATCTACTCATCTATCCGTTTATCAATCCATATAATATCCCTCCATGTATCCATCCATGTTCATTTATCCATCTATCCATCCATCTATCCGTCCAACCATTCATGTATCTATCCATCTTATCATCTATCCATCCATCTATCCGTATATCTATCCATATATCCATCCATCTACTAATCTATACATCCATATCCATCTACTCACCTGTGTATCGATCTATCTATCCGGCTCTATCACTCCATCTATCCCATGCATCTACTCCTATATTCTATCCATCTTCTCCATTAACTCGTCTCCTTCCCTTCGACATCACCCCCCAGCCTATCCCCCCTAACCTTCGCCCCATCCCCCCCCCCTTCAATATTACAAATCCCATAATAAGAGGAAGCGACACCACTGTCTTATAATATAAATAATATTATAACAACATTCACATATAATAGTTCACCCTTTCTAATATAGTTTTCTACAGGAAGGGGAAACTTTAAAATATAATTTTCGTGTTTTTCTTTATATTATGGTCTAAAAAGCAGGAAAATATATGTTAATTTCCCCGAGATCAATGAATAATGGTGTATATTTCTATATGAACAAAAAACATATTGAATTTCTTTTTTTTTCAATATATTTTTATATAGTATTTGGGGAGTGCTACAAATTGTCGTGGGGGTGTGAATGTGACCCTGGCACGCTGTTCTCTCTTGAATTATGGCAACCCCGACTAGCTTATGATAATCCCGTACCCCAGACCACTCCCCCTGCAAGGTTGGGTGAGGCTAGCCCCGAGCGTCTGTCCTCCAACATATTCTCTCTCTCTTATAGGTATTTATGCGTGTTGAATATAGATGTGCTTGGGATATAAGAGATGTGTTTGGAGTACTTGAGATGCGGTTGGTTAATAGATACCCAAGATGTATATAGAATATGGAACATGTGTTTGGAATACATATGTGCTTGCGATATAAGTGTGTTTGGGATATAGATGTGTTTGGGATATATACGTGTTTGTGGTATATATATGTGTTTGTGGTATATATATATATGTGTTTGTGGTATATATATATATATGTGTGTTTGTGGTATATATACGTGTTTGTGGTATATATATGTGTTTGTGGTATATATATATATATATGTATGTGTTTGTGGTATATATATATATATATATGTGTTTGTGGTATATATACGTGTTTGTGGTATATATATGTGTTTGTGGTATATATATATATATATATATATATATATATATATATATATATATATATATATATATATATATATATATATAAATATATATATATATATATATATATATATATATATATATATATATATATATATATATATATATATATAAATATATATATATATATATATATATATATATATATATATATATATATATATATATATATATATATATATATGTGTGTGTGTGTGTGTTTGTGGTATATATATATGTGTTTGTGGTATATATATGTGTTTGTGGTATATATACGTGTTTGTGGTATATATATATATATATATATATACGTGTTTGTGGTATATATATATATATATATATATATATATATATATATATATGTGTCGTACCTAGTAGCCAGAACGCACTTTTTGGCCTACTATTCAAGGCCCGATTTGACTAATAAGCCAAGTTTTCCTGAATTAATATATTTTCTCTAATTTTTTTCTTATGAAATGATAAAGCTACCCATTTCATTATGAATGTGGCCAATTTGTTTTTACTGAAGTTAAAATTAACGTAGATATATGACCGAACCTAACCAACCCTACCTAACCTAACCTAACCTATCTTTATAGGTTAGGTTTGGTTAGGTAGTCGAAAAAGTTAGGTTAGGTTAGGTTAGGTAGGTTAGGTAGTCGAAAAACAATTAATTCATGA